GTGACTATTCGAACGCACTTTCCTTTCATCAAAAAGCACTGGAAATCTACCAAAAAGCTCTACCTGCCAATCATCCTGATTTGGCTACTTCTTACAACAACATTGGTTCGGTGTATGACGAGATGGGTAACTACTCGAATGCACTTTCATATTATCAAAAAGCACTAGAAATCTCGCAAAAAGCTCTACCTTCAAATCATCCTGATTTGGCCATGTCTTACAACAACATTGGTTTGGTGTATCATAAGATGAGTGACTATTCGAACGCACTTTCCTTTCATCAAAAAGCACTGGAAATCTACCAAAAAGCTCTACCTGCCAATCATCCTGATTTGGCTACTTCTTACAACAACATTGGTTCGGTGTATGGCGAGATGGGTAACTACTCGAATGCACTTTCATATTATCAAAAAGCACTAGAAATCTCGCAAAAGGCTCTACCTTCAAATCATCCTGATTTGGCTATGTCTTATAACAACATTGGTTCGGTGTATGACGAGATGGGTAACTACTCGAATGCACTTTCATATTATCAAAAAGCACTGGAAATCTCTCAAAAGACTCTTCCTTCAAATCATCCTGATTTGGCTATTTATTACAACAACATTGGTTCGGTGTATGACGAGATGAGTAACTATACGAATGCACTTTCATATTATCAAAAAGCACTGGAAATCTACCAAAAGACTCTTCCTTCAAATCATTCTGATTTGGCTCTTTCTTACAACAAGATTGGTTCGGTGTATGACAGCATGGGTGACTATTCGAATGCACTTTCATATTATCAAAAGGATCTCGAAATCAGTCAAAAAACTCTTGCTTCAAATCATCCTGATTTGGCTACTTCTTACAACAGCATTGGTTTGGTGTATAATAAGATAGGAGATGAGTCAAAAGCACTTTCATTTCTAGAAAAAGCGCTCGCGATCTTGGAAAAAACACTTCCACCGACACATCCTGATATTAAAACAATGATAGATAATATTGACTACATAAAAAAGAAGCTATAAATGTATTTTTTTTCCTTTTCTTGCGTAATAAATTGGTTTCTATTGCTAGTCACATCCGTTTCCGACTTCTCTAGGCCCACTCTTGCGTATGCGCGCGCCACCATGGCGATTTTCTGGGAGCACGAAATGAGTACACGCAGAGCGGACAGCGCTGGACTGATAATGTAATGAAGGTAAGTATGGTATTCATTATCGACGACAGGGACCTATGAACGTTACGGCCTTCCCAAGTACTACACTACTTTCGCCATCACAGGCGCAAGAGGTCTCGGGAGGCGAGGTGATGAAGCCATCTGAAAGTCTGTCATAAAAATAAAAAAGAGAACCTTCCTCATAAACTATAATCTTATTTTATCGTAAATATTATAATGAAGGTATTTATCATAAAAAGTGATTCTTCATAAAATTGATTACGTCTATCTTATCGAAAAACTATCTTGGAAAGTCCTATTGGCCACTAGGTGTTTTCAATTAGCGGAAAGGAAAAACTTTGTTACTAACGGGTGGCCCATAATAAATGACCGCGCTTTGCATTTTATTTGTTGATAATGTAAAAAGTTTTATTGAATAGCAAAATGTACCACATGGGCAGCGTAGAAGGCTCTATAATTTACATAAGACCGATTATTTTATAGCTGCACTTTTCATTTCAAAAGGGACAAAATTTTCAGTGGCCAAATTTTGACCGTGTGAGAATTGGTCACACAGAATTTTGCTATTTTTGAAAACAATTAGAATAAACTTTACTGTGTAAGTTGTAGAGCTTTTCACGCTGCATCTAGCGGCATATTTTGCTTTTCTCTTGAAAAAGTATATCAGGGGACGAATAGAGTGGGTGTGGATGTGGGTTAGAGATCTGTGGGACTACCTTTTTTGGTCCCGGTTAAAATTTTTCATTGCTTCTGGTCTTGATTTTGTTTCTAGAAAAAAAAAAGTGTTTTCTAATAACCTGCATGATTCTTTTAATACATACGCAATGAAAATTGATGGTTTTGAGAAATTAACGGTATGAGCATACCTTTACATGCATATATCAAAACTAAAGAAAAAAAATACCACTATTTTGGCTCCCGGAAAATTTTCCTTGGTTCTGGCCGTGTGATTAGAAAGTTCTATCAAAGCTCACAGTTCTGGCATAGATACAAACTCTAAATGAGTAAGCTTCAATCAATGTCCATTCAAAAGTCTCTTTAGTAACACCAAAATTTAGGATCTATAGAACTATAAGTACTACTGTTAGTGGGGACCTCCAAGCTGATTCTCGTTCAGAATCGAAAAAGTGATTTTTCAGATCCATAATTTTATCTCAAACATAAATAAAAAGGGGATATTTGTAGATCCTTAGTCAGCACAGAATAATAAGTGCGAAAATGTGTGATCTAGTTCTTGAATAGAAAATTTAATGTGGGTGTGTGGATGTGATGTGTGTGCACACAATGGCCTGGAATGTATGCACTGCGAAACCCACACTCACACCCAAAAAACAGAATATATATCTAAAAATATATTTGGTTATTGAAAAGTGACTCAGCTTGAGTTCTTACTCCAGTTTCTATAAGGAAAAAATAGGCTTCATAAGGTTCTCAAGGAACATATGTTTATTTATTATATTTAATACGTTTGTTTTTTTCCTACGTGAAAAAAAGTACACTTTTCAACGTACATGTGAATTTAATATTTTCTTCATAATTTGTGCTCTTATAAAAACTAGTGTATTTCGTTTTGAATAAATTGCTAAGTAGAAAGAAATTTCTTCCTTCTGTTATATTCTTGTGTCATAGCATCAATTTCTATAGAGGCACATGTATACAAAAAAGCCATAAGTATACAATTTCTTTCTCTCTAATGTGTTCTGTTCTGTTAAGGTAAAAGAAAAAAAAATTCGTTTTTCTTCTTTCTTAACGATTTTTAATTTCATACAAAAAATGCGTTGGTTACTCGTCAGTCATGACGAAAATTCCATCTTAAAACAATGTGGAGATATATTAGAAGTAGCAGGACAAATAGTTCTCTATAATTGTCATCATGGTAAACCATCAATACAAGAAATAAAAGAAAAAATTAACAATGATAAACCTGATCGAATTATTATTATAATAAATGAAAAAAATTCTTCAAAACTTATTGATACAATCAATGATCATCTTTTAATTCCTCTCTATGTGGCACAAGCAACAACGACTTCTTATTCACCTATTCCTGTACTTTTATTAACATGCATATCAAATGATAATAATTTAAATATAATTCAAAATGCAACTGATCAATTAATTAATATTTATTCACATATTGTCAAGTATAATGAATTTATTATTATTTTTAAAATACAATAATTTTTTATTTTTGTTTTCTAATATTTAGTGCAAAACTTCTAACACCTGTAAATGATGAAGATATCAATGAAAACTATTTTGAATCATTATGGACAACAAATCCTGAAGAATTTCATCATATAACAGTACTTTCTGATATTTTACCTATATTATTAGCATTAATACATGATGGTAAAGTAAATGGTCAAATCAATATTTGTAATAAAGGTACAATATCATTGAAATATTTTAAAACAATTTATTCAAATGAAATTAAACAAGAAAATATCTTACCTCAATCAGTTCCAATCGATGATATTACAGATAAATTTGAACAGTGGAATAAACAAATGATTTCACCTGAAACACGACAACTTTATCAAGCATCTTTTTTATTACCAAATGTATTAAAAAGTATTGAACAAATTTTACAACAACAAAAAATTCATATGAATCGAAATACATCAAAAATTTTACTTGTTACTGGTGGTTGTGGATTTATTGGAAGTACATTTATCAATCATTGGATTGAAACATATCCAAATGATAAAATTATTAATATTGATCGACTTGATCCTGTTGCTAATATGAAAAATATTTCAAATCCAAATTCACCTAATTATACATTTATTCTTGCAGATATTAATAATAAAGACATTGTCTTACATCTTTTTAATCAATACAATATTACACATATTGTTCATTTTGCAGGTAAATAAATAAATATTAAAACATTCAGAAAAATTTGTCTCATTTATCGGAATGGTACTAGATATTTACGCACTGCAGTCAAAATTTTTGACCCCAACTTTGAGAAGCTCCAAACCGTTTTTTTTCTTATAGTAGTTTATGTTTTACTCTTTGTGTGCAAGAGTAGAAATACTTGATTTTGTTATTGATATAAATTCGACGTTGACCATGAAAAACAATTCTTCACAATCACTGTAACTCAATCGCCGTTGAAGTTGGAGCTCTATGCAGAGTTCTACTACTTATTGAACAAGATGCACTAATTATATACTGAATTGGATCACCTTATTTCCGATTAGAGTTAGATAATACAACTGAGAAAGATGACCAAATGCTATCTCGATCTGAAAAAAAATGTTACTGGCTTGTTTCACTTCAGAACATGTGTTCTCCCATGGTATTCGAGAAGAAAACGTTTGATTCTTTCAAATATGTCATAAAATATTTCTCGTGCCATCTCAACCTACTCTTACAGGAAAAAACTTTTTTTGCAATTCCTCGATCAATACTTGAATAACTATTGAGCCATATCCATTTCTATCGTTATTACGAATTATATTTTCAACTATAATAAATATGTTTTTTTTTTCTCTCATTTATTTTAGTTCAAGCTCATCTTGATAGTTCATTTGGTAATAGCATCACATTTACAGAGTCAAATGTCTATGGAACTCATTCAGTACTTGAAGCAAGTCGAATTTATGGTAAAATTCAAAAATTTATTCATATTAGTACTGATGAAGTTTATGGTGAAACACCATCTGGTAGTAATCAAGAAATTTGTCTTCTTAATCCTCTTAATCCATATGCAGCAACAATAGCTGCAGCTGAATTTCTTGTTAAATCTTATGGTGAAAGTTTTAAATTACAATATTGTATTATTCGTTTATGTAATGTCTATGGACCAAGACAACATTTTGAAAAAGTTATTCCAACATTTATTAATACATTATTACATGGAGAAAAAATAAAAATTCATGGTGATGGTAAACAAATACGTCATTTTATTTATGTTGATGATGTTATTCATGCTATTGAAATTATTTTAAATAAAGGAAAAACAAAAATGATTTATAATATTGGAACAAAAAATGAATTAAATGTTCTTGATATAGCAAAATATATTTTAGAAAAACTTCAATTAAATAAAAATCTTGATGATGTTATTATATATGTTAAACCACGATCATTTTCTGAAAAACGATATTGTACAACAATATCTGGATTAGTAAAATCTCTTGGTTGGAAAGAAGAAATATCATTTGATCAAGGATTAGAAAAAACTATCGAATGGCTTCAATTAAATCCTGATTATTGGACAAAATAAATTTCTATTTTTAAGACATTATTGTTTCGATGATTAATACCCATTCTTTTTAAATAAATTCTTAAGATATATCTTATAGAATGATTTTTAAAATTGTTGAAATTTCTTTTGTTATCACATATTTTTATAAAAAGCTTGAGTGTACATGATTCAAGAAGTGAAAGATTTTTCGAGTTACTATTATGAAAGACCTTTTCGAGACATTTCGTTACGTTTTTCTTATTTAGAATGTTCAACAGCTAAGACAAAACAAAGTTATAACAAACATCATTTTGACGTTTCATACTCTGCATTTTTCCTTTTTCATGATTAATTTCTAAATCAAAGCATTATATACAAATTTGTAAAGTATTGAACAAAAAAATCAAGTCTCAATCACGAAAAATGACAATAATATTGATACAATGTTGAAAGATCAGTTCATTATGGGACATCCATTAAATTATTAGTATGACTAATTATGATATGATGTTGTAGATATTTTAAACAAAAAACAAAGGGATTAGATAACAGCAAACAAATACTCATTTTGTTATCCCTTCAGTTCTCAGACGAAGTATCTCTACGTAAAACAAGCCAGTCACCAAGTAGTGCTTCGTATTTTACTCGTGATGACGTTGTGTCGTAATTCATATTATGCAATTACATTTCTTTTTTTTGTCGTTCCTGTCGTTAAGCAAACTAAGTAAAGAAAAAATCTTTTTTTTTTTTTCGTTCAATGCCTTAGTTTTTGATTGTATTGTTAGTGACGAATGAATTTCTAATAAAACAAAATCAAAGCAACTAGTCATATAAAATAACACTGTTTCTCCTATGATGACACAAATCAGCATTCAGAACTAATTGTGTATCACTAAACTATAAGATTATCATGATTTTGAAAATTTCTTAGCTAATCTTTTCAAAAATTTTCTTTAAATTTTCATAGTTTCTTTCTTGTAGATTTAGTATCAAAAACAAAAAAATAATAATTAAAGTCTTTTAATTCAATTTTATCAGTTTTAATATCTCACGAAGTATTTTCAAAAAAAAAACATATTTATTTTGAATAAATATTGATTTTCATTGAAAGAGCTATTATAACTACGAGGAATTTCTTTTCTTAATTGTCGATTTGATTCGAGTCTGGCTTTGTTTCATTGTCGATCTTCATGTCATCAAAATATAAAACAGAAACATTATAAATAATCTTTGTTCTAATTGTTGGTTGACCCACGCCTTACAAATTTAACACGCGTTTTCGACATTGACTATGTTTTACACATATCGATGCCAATGGATACGACCAGGAGGCTCGATTCTCCAATCTTAATTCGCTGAGACGTGTATACAAATGTCAAAAGTAATGATTATCTTCCTTGTGTATTTATGCTGCAGACTCGAAAAAATTCCCTTAACATGTGTGCTGTATCAGATCGTGCATCACGTATAACAGATTCAGTTGTATAAAGAAAATTGAAATACATTTGATGAAATCGTTAACCTTTTGTACATAATTTTTTCATCACATCTCAGTGGCAATGATATTTTTATGCACGGAGAGGGCATAAATAACAATACTATAGAGAATTGAAATATTTCCTTTTCAGTTCATTCGAATGAATTGTTTTTCAGTGTCATCCATGAGCAAAACAAACTTCATGAATGATACCATGTTTATACACACAAAGCAATATTCGGTTTAAATTCTGAAATTCATGCCGCATAAGTCAAACACACGATAGCGATCCGTTGCGCATGAAAACACCAACTTTCTTTCAAAAGCCAGTATTTCATGTTTCAAAATTCAAGACTTTGTAGCCATTTATTGATCAATATAGTATCATTCATAAATTTCGTTTTGTTCTTCGATGACAACTGAAAATTATGTATGAAAGTTACACGTATTTTTCTTAGTTGGTAACAAGTGAGATTGCTCTCGTGATACCAACAATAATATTTAATATTAATATTTGCTTTCTTTATTCGTAAGAAAAAAAAATGAATTTGATAAACTTTCACTACTAAATGAAAAATCAACCCATGTGATTGAATCGACGACGGGCAGATATTTTATGTTTTTCATCGTAGTACTATTGATTCTTTAGAATAGAAATCAATATTTAAATTTGTTCAAAACTTTTATTACTTCTATGTTTAAGAAAATCTTTGACTGATTGATATTAAATCTAGGATTATACAATAAACATGAATAAAAAAAGATAGTAAATTCATCTTATATATTTAATTTAATCAAAAATCAACTATCGTCGATAAAATAATCAAATATATAATTATTTATTTCACTGATGACATATTATAAATCTAAGAACAAAAAAAAAAAAAAAAACAACTATGAACAACGAGTTCTTTTCTGTCTACATGTTGGTTTGTTAATATAAGCTATAAAATATTTTATAAATAATTGTCGATAATTATTAATAAATTTTGATGATTTTAAATTTGTATAACTTTTATGTTTAATAGATATATCTGTATTAATTCGAACAAAAGCAAGAAAATCTAAATGATTATCATTAGAATATTTTCTTCTTAATCTTGTATAACATGTATGTGATATTGATAGATAACCATGATTTGAATTTTCATAAAAAAGTCGATAAGAATCCCAATGACCAAAATCAATATCTGAACGTTTTGTTTCAAATAAACATTCTCGTTCATTTCGTTGAAACTTATTAAAAACGAAAAAAAATTTTTTATTTAATGATAATCTTTATTAGTTTTTTGTTTTTTACTTACAAGACCAAATAATTGATTATCTCGACCACATAAATAACGTTTACTTTCTTTATGTTGGATTAGAAAAAGATTCACAGCAATTGGAAAAAATAAAAAAATACCTAAAAAGAAAAACTAATTAATATCGAATGATATGAGCATAGTGTTCTGTAGTAGCCGTTAATAATATAGAACAAGAAACTGCTATAGAACGAATCACAAACAACTGGCCAATTAATGATACAGTCATCAATGATAAATGCATTTCAATACAATGCAGAGCAATGAAATACAGAGAAAAAAAAATATTCCTGAACTTCGTCTATTGAAAATGATAATTCATTTGATAAAATATTCTATATTTACAATTCATCAAGACGTAAGTCACTTTATTTTTCCATAACGAAGATCGTACGTTCATAATATTACAAGAATTTTCTTTCGAATGATGTAAAATTAATAACTATCTTTTTTTATCAATGAACTAAATACTTGAATTTAATTATATTTTAACCATGAAATGTAAACAAGAATAAGTAAAAGAATAATGTTCTATAATAAATTACTCTTATTTAGGTGATGATAAGATAGAGTTTTACCCTCGGTAATCATTTAGCAAGTATATGACCTCATTATTGAAATCGATTAACAGCACATTTTTATCGTAGGCAAACCATTAGTAGTATATTTTATCGAATTTATTGATAGAATTATTCTGTCATGACCTAAATCATTATCAATACGTACCATTGTTAGTTTCTTTTGAATCATATAGATTAGTAATATGTTTAGCATAAACATAACCATCAAATGAACGCATTTGTAATAGACATTGTGTTTTCGATACTATTTTATAAGTTGATACAAGTTTTTCTCGTTCATTAAATGTATCACGTTCAGTACGTGATGTTAAATATTCAGTTTCCATTGAAGATATTGATATAATAAATGTTAAATAGATCATTAAAATGACGAATTTTTTATATAAAATATCGTCTAAATTAATCATTGTAATACAGTATTTCGCATAAATTTACATTTAATATTATATATTCAGTGTTATATAGAAATAGGTCGATTAGTACCATGTAATTGTCAGTAAGTAAAAGGTTAAGTATAGTTCTTTCTCGTACACGACCAATATATTACATTAGCATATAAGAAGAGAATAATGACGATCAATTCTATACATATTATAGAATAAGAGAAAAAAAAAATTCATATTTTTGGTAGAGAGAAGAGAAAGAGAAAAAACGATTTGTTTCTTATTCTGAGTACAAATGATTTAAATCATATAATATTTAATATTGATGCTAAAGAAACAAAAAGAAGAGTGTATATTAATCAGTTGTTTCATACTTTTGAACTTTTATAAGTTATTCGATAGAAATTGTGGAAAAAGGAAATTTTCTGGTTTTTTATTCAATGTTATTTCTAGATATAAACATACCTTTAAAGAGTGTTTAAAAGTTATACATAATGAGAATGTTCAGGTAAAAATCGAAATTCTCTGAACTGGTTCTATCCAACAGATTTGTTGCATTACTATTAATTAATTAATGAGTACAGCTTCAAAAAACATTCATTCTCTTATTATAATTTAAATAACGTTCAGAAACAAATATCATGTTATCTATATATAGCGCGGAACAAAAGGATTGTTCATTCATCAACTGATTTCTTAACTTCAAATAATTCTTAAATCAATACTGTTTGATTATTTTTTATAAACGCAAGCAAATTTACTTGAAGAAATTGTGCGAGAGAACGATGACATATCTTCAAAATATTTTCCAACTGGTAAAGATCGGATCAGTTTATAACTCTGCTATCCCCATTCGAAAATGTTCGGTTTCTTTTCGGACCCGCTATCCGTTCTCATGAGTGTTCAGCTTTCAGAAGTATTTTTTCTAAAGAGTCTATAGGTTCTAATAGACTGTTATTATTTTTTTGTGTTAAACGATTGATATAGATGGTTTATTCATAGATAATAATGAGAAGTTGCTCTGTTTGAAATGCTATTCAAAACCAATTTTAGTGTAAAGTTCAGCGAAAATTTCTTAGAAAACGTTGAAAGAATTGTAATAAGCATCCGGACGTCGAAATGTGTCTCACCTCTCTTTGCACAAAGATGTCCGATTTTAACTAATACCATCTCTTTTCTTGAACATCCTTTATCGATGATTCCCCCTATGACTCTATTAATTTATGTTCTTGAATATCACAAACACTTTTTTTCTTTACAACCTGTTATAGTATCAATGAGATATATCATTCTT